ACAAATCTTAAGTCGGATTTCGAAAACTGAAAATGTCAGATCTAATATGAAGACCAAAAATATTGAAAATTTAGGAAATTGACAGATTTTTATAAAACTTGATACTAGAGATACCTCTGATTCTGATGTCGCCTGAGCTCTTACCCCCTACTTTTTGAAATCTTGATATGAAAAAGTCGAACTATTACCAGCATTGGAATATCTCTTAATCACCATTTCTTTATTGATTGGGACGAAACAGTGATTTCTCAGAATCTCTGGAACTGGTGGAGCTACATCAAATCGTTTTTTCAAAAATTTTTTTGTCTTTTGGTGCTCTTTGTCATTATATGACAGTATACTAATACTTTTAGAATTTTTTTAAGCCCAGTCAACAAGTTTCTCGAATGAAAGAATGGCATCGTTCGGTTTACTAAGGAAGCTAGCTCGCATAGCTTCCCTTTTGAACACAACACCTACACCGTCTGAAGCACCTTTACCATGTGCAGTGGCATGATAGTTCTATTCCGCTGCAACACCAAAATCCTCTTCATCTCGCATCGCAATCATATATCGCATTTATACAAATTACACCAAGTACATTTATCGCAATCAGACATCGCATTCATACAAACTACACCAAGTACATTTATCGCAATCATACATCGCATGTACACACAGTCATCAGACTCATTATTTTAATAAAACACATTTCTTATTTATTATCACCAATCACATGCATTCTCTTTTGACATACCCCCAACTGAACGAACCCGGATTCTGGCGAGCTATACCGCGTCCGAGAAAGCTCACACGGTTTCATGGCGCTCGAACAGGGACCTGATAAAGGGGTGCGTCAACGAGATCCACTTACGATGACTGCGTGGATACAGCGGTTACCGCGCTCCGAGGTAGCTCGACTTTTACAGAGCCGCGATATCGACTGCGACAGCAACTTAGACGATCTCCGCCGACGTTTACGCAAATACATTCGCGCGAATCCAGGGGACATCATCCCTCCGGCCGATGAGCCAGCGGAAACCGAGGCCCGCGCAACATTAAACGTTCCACTGTTACGAGTTCCGGGTAGCTCGGGCCGCGCAAGTCCGATCGACGACGACGACCGGGCTAGTTACTATTCGGCACCCGACCCCCCGACCCCTATTGCCAGCCCGTTTGAACCAGCGAAAACGATGGACCAAATTCGGAAATAGGGGTGCCATTTCGATGGTAAAGATCCGATTGCCTTTCTCGAACGAATCAAGGAATCTCGGCAAATATACCGCTACTCTGGAGACCACCTCCTCCTCGGCCTGCCCGAAATTCTAAAGGGCGAACCGTTGCTTTGGTTCCGGAACCGCCGTCACGCATGGAAGACTTGAATCGGTTTTCTTACCGAATTTCGCGGGCATTACCTCCCACGGCGTTACCAAGCCCGCCTCCGGAGGGAGGCGACCAACCGTCGCCAGCTACCGAACAAACATTTCCGAAAAAATTTTCGACCGCTCTACTCACGCTCGCACGCCGCGCCGGGGGGCTTTCCGAGGCGGAGACACTCGATCTCCTGATCGAGAACATAGATTCGGAATACCGCCTATATATTCGCCCACACGACGCAATTGATTTTGACGAACTCTCAGATCGAGCTGCCGAGAACGAGGAGCTCACCGCGCAACGCAGACAACGCGATCAAAAACCCGTCGAAACCCGAAACGTAGCTACCGCCGAATACAAGCGAGACGAATGCTGCTGGCGCTGCAAGCAGCGGGGCCATACCCGGCTCAACTGTAAGCGACCGCCTCGTAAATTCTGCTCACAGTGCGGGAAGGATGGCGTATATTCCCGCGACTGTCATCCGCCGGCGGGAAACGCCACAGGGGCGGGGCAATGGCGGCCGCCGACCGGCCCAATTAGAGATTCTTTTTTGGCCGCGTCCACACATTAAAGTCACGTGCTACGGAACAGTTATCACCGCTTTCCTCGACTCGGACTCCGACCGGTCGTTTATCAACAACACGCTCGCCGAATATGTATTAGAAAAGGGCTACTGCCCTCGCGCCATACACGAGCACGTCACGGTAGCTGACGGCGGTTCCGCCCCCATTACCGAAAGCTTCCAACTTGAAATTGGAATGGAAGGGGAGAGCTTCTCACACGACTTCCAGGTACTTCCAGCGCTGGATAACGAAATGTTAATAGGAGTAGACCTGTGGGCGTATTTAGGAATCACCCTGCTACCCCCGCCGTTACGAAATTTGCGCCCTCCGACAACACCGGCGCGATATCCGACGGTCTGATACCACGCACCGACGCAGAAACACAACAACTGCGCGCCTTTCTCGACCGGGAACTCTCGCTTTTCCAACACGTCGTCGGGCCTACCGACCGAATAGAGCACCATCTCCGATTAACCGATACGCGGCCGATAAAGCAAAAATACCGCCCTCGTAACCCGGCCATGCAAGAAATAATTAACGAAACCGTTAACGAGATGAAGCGAAAGGGGGTAATCGAACCATCACAAAGCGCATGGAGCTCACCCGTAGTGACAGTCAAAAAGAAAGACGGCAAGCCACAATTTTGCTTCGACTTTAGAAAAATCAACGCCGTGACCGAGCGCGACGCCTACCCCCTCCCGCACATAACGGCCACACTGGATAAGCTACGAGGAGCAAAGTATCTATCGACGCTCGATCTAAAAAGCGGGTATTGGCAAGTGCCTGTAACAGCCGAGAACCGAACCATCACCGCGTTCACCATTCCAGGGAGAGGGCTGATGCAATTTCGCGTCATGTCATTCGGGTTACATTCCGCGCCCGCTACCTTCCAACGCCTTCTCGATACCAAACTAGGCCCCGCGTTAGAACCCAATGTATTCGTCTATTTAGACGACGTGATAGTCGTCAGTGCCACTTTTTTCGAGCACTTGCAACATTTAGCCGAAGTCTTCCGACGTCTCAGAGAGGCCAGATTGCGCCTCAACCCGGAAAAGTGCCACTTTTGCCGGACCGAACTGGCCTATCTCGGCCATATCATAACACGAGACGGTATCCACACCGACCCCGCCAAAATAAGCGCCATTAGCTCAGTGGCCCGCTCCGACTACCATCCGAAAAGTCCGCCAATTTCTCGGCATGGCTTCCTGGTACCGCCGTTTTGTGGACAATTTTTCCGCCATCTCCGCACACGATTAACCCGCAAGAACGCGCGCTGGCAATGGAAGCCGGAGGAAGAAAGCGCCTTCAGCGCCCTAAAAAGGGCACTCGTGACGGCGCCTGTGCTCGCCTGCCCTGACTTCCGGTTAACATTCGTATTACAAACCGATGCAAGCACCTGCGGCCTTGGCGCCGTTTTAACGCAAAACTTCGCCAAGGGCGAACGCGTGATCGTCTACGCCAGTCGCACACTTAACACCGCCGAGAAGAATTATAGCGCTACCGAATTAGAATGCCTCGCAGTCGTCTGGGAAATTCGTCGAATGAGGGATTACCTCGAGGGGTATAAATTCACAGTAATTACGGACCATCAATCGCTTCGATGGCTAAAAAATCTTGAAACTCCTACCGGCCGGCTTGGACGCTGGCTCTTCGAGCTTCAGCAATATAATTTCGATATTCAGTACCGTCGCGGAGCATTAAATAAAGTTGCCGACGCTCTCTCTCGCGAACTCGAAACCTGCGCCGTCCAACCAGCAGCCTGCTCCTGGTATCGCGGCCTTATGCAAAAAATAAAAAGAAAACCGAAAAATTACCCCGATTACGTTATACGGGGGGGGGGGGTAAACTCTACCGCCACATACGACGCGACCTCGAATTCCGTGACCACACAGAAAACGAGCAGTGGAAACGCTGTCTCCCTCGCTCAGAGCGAGAGAGAACGATACAACGATTCCACAACAAACCGACCGCCGGGCATCTAGGCGTGTCTAAAACAATACACCGCGTCACGCGCCATTATTATTTGGCCCGGCATGTTTCGTGACATGGCCTGCTACGTCCGAAACTGCGAGAACTGCCTTGCGTACAAACCTTATCAAGGCAAGCCTGCCGGCCGCACGCACGCTCATAACGTTACCGCACCGTGGCAACAGGTCACAATCGACCTGATAGGGCCGCTGCCGCGTTCCGCAAACGGACATTCGTGGCTCTTCGTGTTACAAGATCGCTTCACAAAATGGGTAGAATTACAGCCCTTACACCAAGCCACGAGCGAAGCAATTAGCAGGATCGTGGCCGAACGCGTCATATACCGGCACGGATGCCCCGAAATAATTATATCCGATACCGGGAAGCAATTTATATCGCGCCAATTCACCGGCATGCTAAAATCCTTCGGAGTAACGCATCGCACCACGCCGGTATACACACGGCAGTGTAACCCCGTGGAACGAACAAACCGAACCATCAAAACGATAATCGCGCAATTTGTCGAACGCAATCATCGCACGTGGGACCGCCACATTATAGCGTTACAATACGCGTACAACAGCGCGTCTCACGACGCTACCGGACTCACCCCCGCCTTCGCGAATTATGGACGCAAATTGGCGTCACCGCATCCGGAAGACCAAACACACCTGAGCACACCAATTCCGATTACCACCTGGCGGCGCCATCTGGATGAGCCCCGAGAATTGATGACCGGTAATCTCGCCAGAGCTTTCCAGCGGCAAGAGCCGTATTACAATCTGCGGCATCGCGATTGGCGGCCCAAAATCGGCGAGACGGTGGCAGTGGCGCCGCGAGCACCCCCTTTCAAACAAAGCCACCGGCGTGAATGCAAAACTCGCGCCAAAGTATACCGGCCCGTATAAGATAGGCCGAATTATCACCCCCGTCATACTCGACTTACGAGACAAGAGGGGGAGATCGATAAGACGCATTCATGCGCAGGATCTAAAACCGGGGAATGGGGATGACGACCCCCCCCCCCCAATTAAGCCGCAAGGCCGCAATACCGGGAAATCGCGTTATATAAAGGCCGATTCCAAGAAGCCGGAGACACAATCGGTCCAAGATAAACCATCTAAACATCATGGATGAAATCGAGGTCCTCCTAGCCGAGGAACCTCGCCGAGAGACACCGTCGACAACGTCGCAACCAGGCCGCACCGTCCCCCGAATGGGGACCGCGATCCAGAGGTCCGACGCACAGAATCGTCGAAAGGCGATGTTCCTGGCGACACCACCGCCGCCGGTACCACGAGGGCGAGGGAAGCCGAAGATTTCGGGCGACGTGTGCAATGCCACGCACACGCCGCTACCGAAGCGAAGACCCCCGAGGACCACCGCCGTACCGACCACCG